GGTTAACAGAGCACAATGTTGAAAATGAGAGCTTTATTAAATCAGGGCTGAGGTAAAAACAATGAAGTAAAAGTCTGAAATTACTGTAAGATCTGTTATTAATGGAATCATTTTTAGTCAATAAAGGACTTTGAGGTTAACTCAATATTAAAGAGCTCTAAATCAAAAGGATTTTTCCTGCCTGGGAGCAGGTTCACAACAGCCAGTTTGTCAAGCTATTGGTAAAAATGTCTGGTTCTATAGTATAAGCTGTTTTTGAAAAACTGCATCCATGAACTAGCGTGATTGGAAAGTATAACACATTGTAGTTAGGAAAGGGTTTCATCCCCGACCCCTGGAACAGTACTGCCTCCTGACACGCCCAGAGGCCAGCAGTAAGAAATCCTGGGTAAGGGGCGCCTGGGGGGCTCGGTCGGTTGAGCATCTGCCTTTCAGCTCAGGTCATGATCTCAAGGTCCTGCGATCAAGTCCCGCACTGGGCTCCTTGCTCAGTGGGGAGTCTGCTTCTCCCTCTGCCTGCCTCTCCCCCTGCTTGTGCTCTCTCTCTCTCACTCTGATAAATGAATAAATAAAATCTTAAAAAGAAGTAGTAGTAGTCGTCGTTGTCCTGGGAGAGTAAGAGAAAGGAGCGGGGAAGAAGTTAGCACAGTTCGGCATGGTGCCCCACACCCCCTCTCTCGATTGCCTGTAACTGCAGGGGTCAGGCTATAACATCTCTGGCTAGGTTTGGGGGGGTCTACCTTGTCAAATACATGTCTCGTGGATATGCAAACATACTTCTATTTCCTCATTCCCCAAAATGAATTGTTTTAAATCAAAGTAGATCATTTTCAAAAATCAAATACATTTTTTGATGAGTAAGGATTGAATGAGAAAACAAAATGATTCTTTTTTGTCTGGTTCTGGATATTAGCCCAGGGTTTTGTAGTTCCCTATAATACAGTAGGGCATAATATCTCATACACACTCTGGTTGCGAATTCCATGGATATACTAAGTAAGCCAGAATTAGCACAAAATTAGTTTATCTAGAAAAATCTTCCTAAAAAAAAAAGAACAGTTCATCGAAGATAAGAAGAAATCAGATGGCTACAAGTGTCATTTCTATGGGAAATGAATTAATGATTTGATCATTTATCAGTTAGTGAGAACGGTTTTTACAAACATGTTCTGCTCTGTTTCTCATGATGAGTTTCCCCAATAGAAATATTACAAAACAAGAACACAAAGCACTGGGTCCAGAATATGGGGGTTCGTTTACAGTTGTGCTTTCTCCTAATCATGTAACCCAGGCAAATAGTTTCACTCCTATAAACCTCAATTTTCTCATTTATAAAATGGCCACTACATGGGGCGTCTGGGTGGCTCAGTCACTAAGCATCTGTCTTCGGCTCAAGTAGTGATCCCAGGGTCTCAGGATTAAGCCCTGCATAGGGCTTCCTGCGGGAAGCCTGCTTCTCCCTCTCCCACTCCCCTGCTTGTGTTTCCTCTCTGGCTGTCTCTCTGTCAAATAAATAAATATAATCTTTAAAATAAAATAAGATAAAATAAAATGGTCACTACAGAGTTATTAGAAAGAATATGTGGCTGGGGGCATGTTGAATGCCCAAGACAACAGATGCTCAGAACATGATATTTCTAATTCTCTTCTAGTAAAGCCTCATTATCCACATTTTGCAGGATAGTAGAGTGAGCATGGGCAGGGGCTCTGAGACTACGCCACCTGGGTTGACTCCTGGCTCTGCCATCTCACCAGCTGTGTGGCCAAGGGCATGTGATTTAAACTCTCCATGCCTCGGTTTTGTCGTCTGTGAAATGGGCGCCATAAAAGCACCTTCCTCACAGGGTGGTATTGAGAATTAAATGGATTTATTTATGTAAGATGCTTAGAGTGGTGCTTGGCACACAGAAAATAACTACATAGGTGTCAAGATTATATTAAGACACTCGTTTATCGAATTGGCATATCTCAGGATTATTACATCTGTCACTACAGCTGTGATCAATAACATGTGGATGGGTGACATTTTCTGACTTGAATCCCAGGGGGTTAATGAAGAGGGTGGGGAAGCAAGAGGCGGCCACAACCTTAGCTGTGAATGCTTTGAAAACAGCCAGACATTTTTTCCTTTTTTTTTTTTTTTTTCCAAATTCTAGCTCCGGGCATAGGGAGAAAGGAGCATTACACTCCCCCAGGGGGGCGATTTCATCCTCACTAAACCATTGCTTTAATGATCACCAATATTTTTTAGTTCCATTGCAAATGGCATTTATAGTGAAAACGGTATTTTAACAACATTAAAGGAATTTTTTTTATATGAAAAATGAATCAACTCTAAACACGCCACCTGACACAAAAACCATTTCATTGTTTCTATTTCCCTCTAGTTGTTGTTTATGGGCACCGCATGGTGTAAGTTTAGCCAGTTGTCATCACTGTGCGTGTACAATTCTCTACTCTGTTTGCCATGATCAATAACCCTGACTTTACAATCATTATTATTATTAATGGCTGAACAGTCAAGCTGATAAGCCATAATTACTCCTTTTTTGAAAACCCAAATGTGCACATTTCATATGCTATAGGGGGAACTCTACGTGTGAATGATAGTCAAGGACAGAAATGATAAAAGGAGAAGCAATCAAAGACCTAAAACTTCTTGTGGCAGGAGGGAAGAGAAGGGAGGGAGTATTGGATTGCCTAAGAGCTGTGAAATCCTATAATTTGATTTTGCAAAAGACTTCTACCCCCAATGTTTTGTTGAACAGACCTATTTTTGCATGTAGGAGAATTTAAAAGAAGTTGCATGTGATGGGTACGTGGAGGCTCATTATCCTGTTGTCTACTTTCGTGTCTGCTTGAAACTTTCTGTAATTAAAAAGGTTGAAAAAAAAATGTGCTTATAAACGATTTTTCCTACACCCTTGGAAATAGTTTGAAACGTCTCTCGGTAAGCAAACCACCACTAGCCCACGTGGATCCTTGAGAATTTTCAAAGTCCGTTTTCTGCAAGTGTCCCCCTCTTCTGGGAAATCATAGAGGTGTGCACGTGTGTAGTGTCTGCACTGGGCTGCTTTCTTGATGTGGCCTTCCTGTGCTGGGCATAGCTTCCCATCATCAGCAGAGGCCTGGCTTGGGTATCACTAAGCTATTGTTAAGAACATCTCTGGGGCGCCTGGGTGGCTCAGTGGGTTAAAGCCTCTGCCTTCAGCTCAGGTCATGATCCCAGGGTCCTGGGATCAAGCCCCACATTGGGGGGTCTCTGCTCAACAGGGAGCCTGCTTCCCTTCCTCTCTCTCTGTTTGCCTCTCTGCCTACTTGTGATCTCTGTCTGTCAAATTAAAAAAAAAAAAAAAAAAAAGAACATCTTCTTTAAGAAGGCAAGGCAAGGGAGTGGAGGTGAGAGGTGGATGCCATAGCTGCTTGGGCATCCGTGGCCAGTACCGGGAAGGGGGTGGCCAGTCATAAATGATGGTACACCAAGCCATGCTCTCTCCCCAGCCCACCTTGGGCTGAGACCATCGGTCCTGCAGACACAACACCTGCCCGGGACATTGTTTGAGGATGATGAGGCCCGCATCATAACCATGAGTGGACAGTCAGCTGGACTAGACCCATGAGGAAAAACAGCAACATGCAATTAATAATAATGACCAGAATCATAATCATTATTGCTAATAATAATCATTATTGCTAACATGCATTGAATGCTGACTATGGGCCAGGAGATGTTTTAATCATTTTGCATATTTTTTTTTTCTTTTTAGACTTTATTTCAGAGAGAAAGAGGAGAGAGAAAGAGCACACATGAGCAGGGGGAGGGGTGGGGGAGAAGCACACTCCCTACTAAGCAGGGAGCCCGATGTGGGGCTCGATCCCAGGACCCTGGGATCATGACCTGAGCTGAAGGCAGTTGCTTAACTGATTGAGCCACCCAGGCGCCCCTCACTTTGCATGTGGTAAGTCACTCCATCTTTACAACTCTATTTCACAGGGAGGAAACAAAGGCATAGAGAGCTGTACCTTTTCACTTTATTGGAAAAATAACAAAACGAAAGGAAGTTTTGGGAAAAGAACAGAAAATGTGATTGTCCTGACTTCTATACATTTTACAGGACAGCATTTTTATTTTCTGAAATTACTTTCCTGTTTTTGTTTTTGTTTTTAAGATTTTATTTATTTATTTGACAGAGAGAGACATAGGGAGAGAGAGAGGGAACACAAGCGGGTTGGGGGTGGGGGTGGGGAGTCAGAAGGAGAGGCAGCTTCCACTGAGCAGGGAGCCTGATGCGGGGCTCAATCCCAGGACCCTGGGATCATGACCTGAGCCCAAGGCAGATGCTTAATGACTGAGCCACCCAGGCACCCCATACTTTCCAGTTTTTGTCCATGGCCAACTTGCTTTTCATTTTATTTTTATTTTTAATTAATTTGTTTAATTTTTAAAAAGAGTTCTTTATTTCTTGAGAGTGAGAGAGAGAGAGGGTGCACATGAGTGTGCAAATTGGGGTGGGGGTGGGTGCCGAGGGAAAGGGACAGGGAATCCTCAAGCAGATTCCCCGCTGAGCATGGAGCCCCACGCGGGGCTCGATCTCACGACCCTGAGACCATGACCTGAACCAAAACCAAGGGTCGGTCGCTCAACTGACTGAGCAATAACATTATTCTTTATATACAAATGCCTGCTCATAAAAAAAAAAAAAAAAAAAGCTCCAAGCAATAAGGCACAAAGAAGAGCAAAATAAAGAGTTCGTTACCAGAGTGTCTATTGTTAAGGCATGAGTCACTGCAGTAAAATATTACTCCACAGCATGGGAATGTTTTTGCTAATTATTGAGTAAAGGCAAACTGGAAGTTTGTGTTATGAGGTGGCTAAAGACCTGATGTACCAGAAACATCGATCAGTCCTCAGAGTATATGGCTTTTTCTAGAATAAAAAAAAATAAAGTCCTTTGTACCAGACCTGGGAAACAATAAATTCTTTTCTTTCTGTTCATTAGAGACCCGAGACTTCCATCACCAAACCAAAAGCCCTAGATATCAACTGCCTGGCTTATAAGCATTCTGTGGGAATAAGGTAATGCTTTTCTTAGCATGTGAGAGGATATTGTTGTCTTATACAACTCCTGGGGACAAATTTGTTATTCAAATTTCTGTGAAGGGCTTGAGGCTGAAAAGAATCTGTTGAGAAAGAAAAGATCTCATCATTTCTTTTTCTTTTTTAAGTTTTGATGTATTTGTCAGAGAGGGAGAGAAAGAGAGCATGAGCAGGAAAGCAGCAGGCGGAGGGAGAAGCAGGCTCCCCACTAAGCAAGGAGCCTGATGTGGGGCTCGATCCCAGGACCCCAGAATCATGACCTGAGCTGAAGGCAGAGGCTTTAACCCACTGAGCCACCCAGGCATCCCCATAGCTCATCATTTCAAAACTGAAAGGACTTTGCATGAACTATCTAGTTCACCACTTAAGTTTGGAGATAAGGAAATAGGCCAAAGAGGCTGGATACTGAAAGTCACCACAAACTGAGACCAGAATCCACGTGTCTTGATCTGTAGTCTTTGAAGACATTTATTCCTATTTATGTCCTGGAAAATAGGGAGAGAGGGGAAAAAAAAAAAAAAAGGAGCAGGTAGTTGAAATAAGAGCTCAAGACAGGCCATTTTATTTGTTGTTCAGAAAGAAAAGTCTTCCGGAAAATTCCAGAACTTCTGAATAAAGTTAGGCAGATTTCCAGGATTAGACAAGTGGGTCCATACATAAACTCTCACTAAGAGATTTCAGAACGTACCCACTTGTCCTTTTAAATCAACATTAGCAGATTTCAAAAGCACTTCCCATCCTACCCCTGAGGGGCAGTCCTTACTCACACATGTGGAGAGAGAAAGGAGAGAGCGTGGGTCCTGGCATCCCCCGTCCACCTGGACCCGTTTCCAGTGGGGGCTGACGGGTCTGTGGGTCCCTGCGGCAGGCCTTGGGCCAACATAGGGAGACATTGTGCAAGCGGGTGGTACTACTAAAAAATGCCTTTGGGGATTTTAGGAATCTCACATCCCTGTGATATCTCGTTAGTCTCACTTGTTGAAATCGCATAGGTTTTAAACAAGTAGAGGGCTGCTTGCTAAATTGTAGCCCCACGACGGTTGCTCCCTTGGGGCTCAAGGCCCACATACGTTAAAGGGGTGCTCAAGTCATAGCTGTCCACAGCCCTAAGAGCCATTAATGTTTTCACAGGTTACCCACGAGAGCATCAAACACCAGATGCAGAGGACGGAGCACCCGAGAGACCGCCGACTGCCCCGTGAACAGGAGTTTTGGGTACGGGAACCTAGAAATTCTTCCCATGGGCTTGAAGCTCGCTGTGCTTGGTATCTTCATCATTGTCATCTTTGTTTACATAACGGTGGAAAGGAAGCCCTTCTTTGGCTAAGTGCTTTAGGAACAGAGCAGGGAGGGAGCAGCTGAGCGCGGCTCCAAGCCTTCCAGCTGCAGGAAAGAACAGAAAGACTGCTCCAATGGGGGAAAGCCCAGCCCCACAGCCAGGTCGCTTTCCACTGTGCTGCTGCTCTCACAAATCCGTACCCAGGCTCAGGATTTCAAAGCCGAGGGGGCCTTACGTGCTGTCTGGTTCACCACTCGTGTTTCAGGATAAGGAACTAGGCCGGGGAGGTAGAGGACAATGCCAAAAGTCGAAATGAATGAAAACCAGCATCCACTGTGGCGGGAAGGAGGGACAGAACGGGGCACTCCTGTCGAGGAGCTTGGGCATAAGGAGTCCCCTGGGTCGTGCTGGCCATCAATAAAACCGCCACCACATTTGAGCATACTTCCAAAAAGAAAACCGTGCCTTGCATTTTTCTTTTGAACTATAGGGCTAAGCCCGTAGGTCCCACTTTATTCACTCTTCCAGTGGTAGAGTCAACTATGGGAAAGGCCCCTGACCGGTAATTAACAAAAAAGGAACGTGTCTAGTTCGGCAAACACAAAGCCATATCCAGCATCACCAGTCGTCAAAGGGAAGCAAGTCAGAGCAAGATAGCAATTTCGCCACTGAAACTAGAAGGTTTGAATAAATTAGTGCCTGATGAGGGAATGTTGGCATCGTGGACTCTGAGAGCAGGCAGAGCTGGGCAGGCGCCTGGCTCCTCGGACTTTGGGGGGGGTTCCTTGTTCTCTGTGTGTCAGTTTCAACTTCTGAAAATTAGAGATAGAATAGACCTCTTAGGGGATGAAGAATTTGAAGAAATAATCCATGCAAAGTACTTAGCTTGGTCCCCACCTGATGGGTAGTCAGCCTTCAAGAAATACTCAAGCAGTGTTACACTTCACCACAATATTTCTACTTCCTGGAGGACCTATCTAGATACAGAGAAGTCTTCCTACCCTGCACACCCCCCACCTGCTTTTTAAAGTTTTTATTTAAATTCCAGTTAGTTAACATACAGTGCAATATTAATTTTGGGAGTACAATATAGTGACTCAATGCTTCATACAACACCCATTCATCACAGTTAGTGCCCTCCTTAATCCCCATCTCCTGTTCAACCCATCCCCTCACCCAACTCCCTTCTGGTAACCAGCAGTTTGTTCTCTATAGTTAAGAGTGAGAAGTCCTTTTTTTCCCCCCTAAAGATTTTTTTTTTTACTTATTTGACAGTGAGAGAGACAGTGAGAGAGGGAACACAGGCAGGGAGAGTGGGTGAGGGAGAAGGAGGCTCCCCGCTGAGCAGGGACCCTGATGGGGGACTTGATCCCAGGACCTGATCCCAGGACCCTGGGATCATGACCTGAGCCCCTGAGCCAAAGGCAGATGCTTAATGACTGAGCCACACAGGTGCCCTGGGAAGTCTCTTTCTTTCTTTGAAGTAAACTCTACATGCAACCTAGGGCCCAAGCTCATGACCCCAACATTCAGAGTTGCAGAGTCTATTAATTGAGCCAGCCAGGTGCCCCCCCACCGCTAATTTACTTTAAAATTTTTAAATTTTTTTTAAACTTACTTTTTTAAAAATGGTATTTTTTTTAAAGACTTTATTTATTTATTTGACAGACAGAGATCACAGGTAGGCAGAGAGGCAGGCAGAGAGAGAGAGGAGGAAGCAGGCTCCCTGCCGAGCAGAGAGCCCGATGTGGGGCTAGATCCCAGGACCCTGGGATCATGACCTGAGGCGAAGGCAGAGGCTTTAACCCACTGAGCCACCCAGATGCCCCCAAAATTGTATTTTTAAAATATGTTATCCCAACTGTACAAACAACACCAGAAGAAAATACACAAAAATGTTAACAGTACTTCCGTGATGGGATTCCCTAATTTTCTTTTCCTTGTTCCTACTTTTCCACATTTTTAAAGATTTCTATAAGCAGGGGATGTTAATTTGCTAATGAGAGAGAATACGTTTTAATGTTTAAAATGGTAATACTGTATTACAGTTCGACTGCAAGAAACATAAAACTCTGATAAGGGAACTTAAACAAATAAGAATTTATTTTTATCTCATAAGAAATTTGGAGGTTAAGACATATAACATTGGTAAAAATAACCAAACATAATATGATTCTGATTCAAGTAAGTCAACTGTAGAAAAAATTAAGATAAAAAAATCTGGACTAGATATTCAGTGATAATAAGAGATGTTGGAGGCTGCCTGGTTGGCTCAGATGGTAGACCATGTGACCCTTGATCTTAGGGTCGTGAGTTCGAGCCCCAGACTGTGTGTAGAGATTCCTTAAAAGGAGAGCGAGAGATGTTAGATCTTAGTGAGCAGCAGCAGCTATTCTGTGACCATGAGGTAAAAAGCATATGAGAAAGGCTGAGAGAATCACAAGGATGCTAGCCTGTTATCTTTGAACTGCTGAAATTAGTGCTGCAGCTCAGGCTAGCACATTAGCATTTAAGGCAGAACACAAGGGCTAACCACATCCCTCTCCACAAGAACAGTAAGGGAGAGGGGCGCTTCGGTTAAGCGTCTGCCTTTGGCTCGGGTCGTAAGCCAAGAGTCCTGGGATCGAGCCCCGCATTAGTCTCCCTGCTCATCAGAGAGCCTGCTTCTCCCTCTCCCTCTGCTGCTCTCCCTGCTTGTGTTCTCTCTCTCTGTCAAAATAAATAAAATCTTAAAAAAAAAAAAAAAAAGAACAGTAAGGGAGGCTGGGGATGTGAGCATTTGCGCTTTAGCAATCTCTGTCTGAGACAGACAAGGGAGAAGAAGGTTGGGTATAAGAATAGGAGGAAGCAACCTACAGTGATGATTACGTGTTCTTTAAAAAAGACACTTCTGTTCTTAATAGAATTAAGCATTGAAAAACCCAAGTGTCTCCTAGAAAGGCTGCTTCAGTACTTTCTACTTTTGCCAATTAATTTTTGTAAATTGGAATCTTGGAATCAGTGAAAACGATTGCATAAGGCACCTGGTCAGTGCCTTTCCAGTCCAAGTGTGAGCCCCCAGCCGGCAGCATTAACATCTCAGGACCTACCCTCATCGACTAGGCTGGAACCTGCCTTTCACGGGACCCCAGGATGTCCACACATACTAAGGTTTAAAAAGCCCTGAGCAGCCCATCACCATCAGATGCTTATGTAGGGAGAGTCCTAGCTCAAGCCTCAGCCAGGCTGACCCTAAGAGTCAGGCCAGAGGACCAATGGGGTAGATCCATCTGGAGTCTATGAACTCTGCAGAAAGGGTCCCCTTTTGGGAAAAACATGTCTAAAAAGAAGAGACTCAAGCATATAGGTTTGATTCCAGGAAATGTTTCACTATTCATTCATCCAATAAATTATTTAATACCTCCTGCACACTCTCAAAAGAAGAGCAAATAAAATCAATATTTTTGATGTAATCAAATAAATCAGATTTTCAAATCAAATATTCATCGAATGATTTAATTCAAATCAAATCAAATCAGATATTCAAGTCAAATCAATCAGATTAATCAAATAAAATCAATAAAATCAATATAAAGTATAGTTCCTGTTCTCAAGGACTATGCCGTCTGAGCGGGGAGATAGGGATGCCAACAGACATCACAGTGTTCAGCGGTATCTTTGAGATGGTAGGACAGGGTGTTCTGGGAGCGCAGAAGAGGGCAACTTTCACAGGTGTTGGGAGCACACGTGGGAGAAATATCATCGCGAAATCCCATATGATGAACAGGAGGCAGTCAAAAGAAGGGGGAGAAAAGTGGATGAGGCTATGGGAACCATCTTCAGGTCAAGGGCACAGTATTTATGGAGATGAGTATGTGAGAGATAGCAGGCACGTTTGGGGAACTTCAAGGGAAAAGGAAAGGGAAGTGGTGAGAAACGGGGCCAGAAGGAAAGCAGGATTCAGATCACGGTCTTGGGAACCAGGTTAAGGAGTCTGAACTTGATTCAGAGGCAGAAACTTGAGAAGAGGAACACCTCTAAGAACTAACCTTCCCAGGGCGCCTGGGTGGCTCAGTGGGTTGGGCATCTGCCTTGGGCTCTGGTCATGAACCCATGGTCCCAGGAGAGAGCCCTACATCAGTCTCCGTGCTCAGCGGGGAGCCTGCTTCTCCCTCTCCCTCTGCCTGCCTCTCTCTCTCTCTCTCTCTCTCTCTGTGTGTGTGTCAAAAAATTGGTAAAATATTTAAAAAAAAAGAAAAAAAAAGAGCTAACATTCCCTGCCTCCCTCATTGTCTTCTCTGTTGGTTCTCGTGGCTTCCCTGGCTTCCCAGGAGAGCTAGGAAGAGAGGGCTTCTTAAAGAGCTGTCAAACCGAAGGAGTCATTGGTCAAATCCCCCAGGGATGTTGGGAGGGCACCGCAGTTCTTGGTGTGTCGGGCCCTGCAGCCACAGGAGCGGGGAGCCCAGCACTTACGGGAGGCAGCACACCGTGACACACTCTCCATCGTGTGTGCCGGCAAATGCAGCAACGCGGTGAGAACCAGGGTGGCAGAGAAGACATCCACTGGGAGAGCGGCCATGGGACAACTCCACGGGTCGCCCAGGGAGAGAAGGACTGGCCACGGTTGCCCAGAGCAAATAGGATGGGGGATGAAAGGAAACCATTAAACCCCCCCAAAATGCGCTTGCCCTGTTGTGTGAATATTGGTGATGTGGGTTGGACCCAAGTATTTCAGGAGCCTCTCTTCCAAGGCTCCCCTTCCCCTGGTCATGTGGGGGAAGTGTGTGTGGGGAGTGGGGCTGACTGTCCCCTCCACCCCAAGACCAGCGCCCTCCATAGGAAATGGCCGCCACCAAGCTGACCTCAACGGAGGGCCGGAGGAGAGGAGACCACTTCCGCCACTGCCCTAGTTCTTCACGGTATAACACGAGCTGCAGAAAACACTTTTCTGAAATCTCAGACATAACAAGGAAGCTAAAATGTGGGCAGGAGAGAACGAGCCTATTTGGGTGGTCTTCCCAAAGAGTCCCCTACCCGCCCCCACCCCACCTCCGGCTCCACACCGATCGGGCAGAAGCCATGACACTGAGATTTTCTTACCTTGGGCCAAATCAAATTCCCAGGCAGGGCTCCCTCTCCCACTAGTCTC